CCTCCGCACAAACAAGCATACTGGGTATGCTGTCCTGAAATTTTGAGCATTTACCCCACTGTCTATCCAGTGTGCAACCAACAAAGACTGTCGCAAGAAAATTGGTGAAAACCCTGGGTCCAAGATTGTTCGTTGTCTACACTGTAACAGAGCAATGCTTCTGAAGAACTGCTATATTGAAATGAACATTAACTTTCATCTAGAAAAACAGGACCAGCACTTTTCAGTGAAAGCATTTCCAAAGATTGTGAGGAACCTCCTCCAAGAAGACATCTTGCAGTACAAAGACGACATTGACAATCTAACGGAGAAGTTGCTGTTGCTCGAAAATGTAGATTTTGAGCTTTCTCAGAACAACAAACTTGATATAAGTATGAAAGCCCTTGCCTCAACTTCACAGGAAAAGTGAACTGCTAACTGTCTGGTAAAAAAACTGTTAAGTTGAACAGACACTAGTGAAAATTTTACCAAAGAGTACAATTTGATATTAGATTGATTTTGCTTGGCCCGTGAAACACTATCTAACAATCAGTGCGTAATAGTCAAAACTTAACAAAAGAAAGCAATGGAATAAGTGTGTAATACTAACTGATAGTGTAGTAACTATTTACGGACCAAATAAAATCACTCTGACCACAGCCGTTTCAAGTTATACCGTTAAAAACTTAATAAGCTGAATTAACTTACCCCATGAAACAATATCTGTTAAGTGCATAATAGTTAAAATTAAACAAACAAAGCAATGGAGTAGTAATTACTCCGCGGACAAAGAAAAATCACTCGAATTTGTTCTGTCCTTATTGTTGGCTTTTTTTGGTAAATTTCTGGCTCGATTAAAAAAAAAATTCTCCAAAGGAAATAACCATGCTATTATAATACAAAATATTGTTAAAAAGAAGTAGAAGTAGATTGCATGGTTGTAGTGACTTTATATTTCCTTCTATAGGCCTAATTAGATAGATTGCAGATAATTATATTTTATACCAATACATTGTATATGGTTACAGTTGATTATTGTTGTTGCAACGGTTATTGTCAGTGATGATTTTTCCCAACAAGTCAATAACACGCAAATTTATTAAGTTCCTGTTACACAAGTATAAGTTTTACAATTGAAATAGATTTATATTGCCTGATTTATAGATAAATATACTGCAGATGATTATATTATATAGATTTATACATTGTTGCAAGTTTGGTTATTGTTGTTGTTATGGTTATTATAATGATTTTTCCCAACAATCACTCAAATTTTTAACGTACAGTACATTCCTGTTACACAGAATATTAACTTTACAATTGAAATACATTGATATCAACTGATTTATGGATAATATATTGCAGGTAATTATACATAGAATACGTTGCTCTTTCACAAAATGAAACTGTATCACTGCAATAGATTTCAATGTCAAATTTACAGAGAAATATGCTAATCAGTTACATGGATGTTAACTTCAATAAATATTCAAACGTTTCTTTTTTAACATTCGTATGCACAGTATTTATCTCCAGTAAAAACCATATACAGGTGTTAAACAGAACTTCAAAAGCGGGGGCAGCTCTAGTGAAAACTATTACTAGTTCTAATTATCCAGCAGCACGTTTCTTCCTTCCTTATTAGGCAGAATAAACGCGTGCAATTACAATATCTCTCTTACAAGAAATCAACTACGGACTTCTTCACAATTTGGTTACTAGGACATTTAATTAATGAAGTAATTCGTTGTTATATTCCCCGACAAAGGTGGTAGAATACGTGACAATTTTTTCGTCCAATATAAACTGTATTCTTGATGAATTGTGGTACCATGAAAAATAATCTTAAAATATGATAAGTGATTCAGTTCCTCTAGAACGACTCATTCCGAGAGCGTTCTCTTTTAACAACCTTGACTTTTGAGGCCATCTCTGAAAGTATTGACATGAGTACAGCTCGAGGAGGACTTAACTCCTTGGACAGCAAAGTATTTGTCTGATCGTCTGCTTCACTGCTTGTCTTACTTCACGAATATTCCAGCAGTAGAGGAACGGATTCAACGTTGAGTTAAAGCAAACTAAGGTACCTGTTATTCCGCTCATGACGGCCAGGTGTGATGAATATGTTTTACTCTTAGTAATGATAATTATCACTATGCCATATGGTAAACAACAAACCACTAATGCTAACTGCACCCATAGCGCGCTATACACTGCCTTTTTGTATCGCGTAAGGTTCAATGCATTTGGTTGGCTCGGCTGTTGTTGGACATGATCTTGTACTTGAGCGTGATGTTGACCGAGAGCACGGAAAATATATGTGTACGAAGCAAAAGAGATAATCAGGCAAAACGGTATACCTATTAAGCTGTACCAAATGGTTATACGGTAATCAAATATGAGGCATAAAGTAGCGCCAAGACATAAGGTCCACAAGAAAGCAACAATGGTGAATGTACGTCTCAAAGTTACAATTTGTCTGTATCTCAGCCCCAACAACAGGGCAAGAAGTCTGTCCATGCTTATGATCGTCATTGTGCACAAAGACGTTGAACATAATAGATTGACCATAAAGAAACCCATGTTTCCGGCGTATCGACAAAGACTCCAGTGTTCGAGAACCAAAGACAGCAAGTAAGCAACAATGAGAGGCTGGCTAACAAGACCAACCAACAGATCTGTTGATGCCAGACAACGATACAAGAGTTTGGAGGGGGAATGAAGGGTAGACTCTTTACGAAGCGCAGCAACGATAAGAGAATTTCCAAGAAATGCTGTGATGGAGAGAAGAATATTGACTGCGGCTGAGAAAGAAATCGATTGTAGTGGAAGTCTTACTACCAAGGAGGGGGAGCAAAGCAGGTCTATAAATTTTTTCGTCTGAATTCCACTCCCTGTTAGGTTAGTTTTCGCCATAATTCTGCGAGTTATAGTGAAAAAGACTTCATCCAAACAACACCTGGGTTACTGAGCCACGATCGCTCGGCTTAAACCTCACTTTCTTATCAATAATCATTCAAACATGTTTATTTATTTTCACCCATTTATTGCACTGTCATTGCAGTGACTCCATACTGTCGTCTGTGTTTAGAACAATTTTTCTTTCCGATGCTTTTTATTTCTAATTGGCCTTAACGGTAAAACTCGTACACATCTGTGATTAGTATCCTCATCTTATGTTATGCATACGACGAAACTCTCTTTACTAAGACAATAAATTTTTGATGGGGTAGATAATTAAGTATTCACTTTATCGCTGTGCTCCCGAGATGTCAATCAGTCTAGAAACTTATTGGAAACAGTTTCCGAATAAAAGCAGCTTTTCATACTTAATCGGTAATCCGACATGACGAGTGATTCTAAATTAATAAAGTTTTGTTTTTTTCTTTTTTATGGATAAGCTCTTCTCACTTTTTCCCTCATTTTGCATTAGATTATAATTAGCAAACGAAAAACGAAAAGTGAAAAACGACTGATGAAATACGACAGGTGAAATACGACAGGTGAAATACGACAGGTGAAATACGGCATGATTTCGCAACCAAACTTTTTTCGACCTCAATTGTGGCCTCTATATTGTTCTTTCCTACAAACTGTATTAACCACGTGTGAACGAAAGTGTATGAAGGCCAGTGATCTCGGTAGAATTTTCTTCTTTCATTATAAGCTTTAGCTTGAAAAGATAACAAGGGTTTCAAATAAAAAAATCTCCTTTGTTTGCTAACGACAGACAAATGTGTTTTTTAGCGCGATTCTTTCGTGCGTTTTTCGCACCGTAACGTCCTTACCACCGGTTAAAAGGAAAAAATTGCATGCAGAATATGCTATAATAGCGGAGCTCGCAGCGCGCGTAGCGTAGCCCCATAATTATACAAAATAGTAGTAGAAACCCATCAAGCCGAAAACATTTGGACTCATGACCGTACGGGCGTTCGTACAAGTTGCTAATTTTAGCATGCGTGGTCAACTGTACCGTGGGTACGCCGCGGCTTTAGTATTGTAGAATCAGTCCTTTACACGGACACAGAGAAGTTGCGAATGAAAATCCATTAATATTAACACGCACTTTATCCATAGTGGGAGCTTTAGTTTTATTGACGAGACGTGAGGGGTAAAAACGCTACTATCCAAGTGATTAATGCATATGTTTTTACACGTCCTTTTGTAAGTAGAACGTGGGTACAGTTTACAGTCGCCACATATCTCTCCCATGCTATTGATATCAAACGGAAAAATGATACACCTGAAGCAGAGAACATCACAAAGACAGAAATCATGCCAGTTATCGTGCTGATGATATTTTCTGACACGTTTCCTTAAAGAATCAGTGCATCCAGAAAGATAGTTAGAGGAATGGAAAGACAGCCCACGGTAAGATCAGCTACGGCCAGACTAGTGATCAGAATGTTAGAATTTTTCCGCAAATCTTTCACTTTCTTCACTGCAACGATCACATGCACGTTCTTTCAGTCAATGAATTCCTCCCTAACTCTCTCGCCGAAAAAATAATCAACAAACTGTGCTTCTCGGAGCAGCTGCTAATAATTTCAAAAAAGAGAAAAGAAGGAAATCTTCTCTGTCATTGTTTTCTTTTTTGTCTATTCTGCTTTTAAGATGCAAATGAAACAACTTGAACATTACCACAGAGCAATTAAGGGCCTCAGGGAAACTGCGAGGGTGACGGAAACGAGGACTTGCAAAAACAAAAGGTTTGATGGGTTGGACGATAGCTCAGCACGTGATTTGTGGAACTTTGTAAATTTAGCAGCCGTACTCTGCAAAATGTCAATGTGAAATTCCCAAAATTTGCGTGGTCTGAGAATGAAAACTTCGTTTGCGTTCTCAGGCTATTTGTGGCGGTATAAAGACATTCAGCCATACGCAAAATTCTAGCTAAAAATGTACTGTACATACTTTTTTTAACCACCGTCTTCCTTGGCGTTGCCGTCCTACTGAGCTGCTTAAGGTCTCTAAAACCCAAACGCGTGCGATATTTGAACACAATGCGTATGGTCAGCTCCTTCACAACATCTCACAACACAATCCAACAATGTTGCAAGATGTTACGTTGAAATGTTTGCATGCGTTTCACTGGGCCTTTATGGAGACACCAAAGCGGACCGGGAATCTGATCGAAATTGAAAACTATCTAATCGAAACAAACATTTTGATGCCAGACTTCATTAAATTATTCTGTGAAAGCACATTCTAGGTATTTATTCAATTATTTGTTTAGTTATTTATACGCAATCTTTTGCCAGGTTGATCCAGTTCAATAGCTCCGCTGGATTGAATGGGGGCCATAGACACTGAAAACAATTTTGTGAACACAATGATAACTTTTCGTTTGGTTTTACGACACTCAGTCGAAGAGCACTCTATTACGACAATCATGATCCAGGCGATCTACCCGATGTCTTTACGCTTTGTTTTGAATCTATAGCTCATTCACTCCTTCTATTTTAGCAGCCTATCACAGTATACCCCATTTAAGCTAATAAAAGTAATGAGAAAATAAAACACCGCCTGCAGTGAACATGCATTATAAAGTCAGACCCGCAAGACTGAGAAAGGGTCTCGATAAAGAAACAATTAAGGTTTTTTTACTCGAATCGTAGCTAACTGCCCCACTTCATCTACTTCGTTACTATACAGTTTATCTATTCGTTTGAATCTAATAAATATTCTTCGAATTTTTTACAAAACCTATATGTTACTAAGAAACACCATTACATACAAGTAATACAGTGCGGTATCACAAAACTTCACTCTGGTTATCGCACCACTGGTATAACCCTAAAAACAGTCACTTTTTACAAGGCGTGAAATTCATTACAAACTTATCAGCCAATGACTTTTATTTACCATGACTCAAAGCCTTTTTAATTAGTTGCATTCAGATCGGCAGAGGATCGTCGATGTCTCTCCAGCAGAGAATGTTATTGTTACATTCTGTACCTCGTGAACTTGTCAGTAAAGAATCAATTCTACCATCAAATAGACCGAAACATCCACCTAATAGAACAAAACAAAAACAAAAAAACAGAAAACATTTCTAAATAACTGATAGTATCAAGATAGGTTACCTCAGTCAACTAATTTGTAAATGTTTACCGTTGACCAGAATTCATTTCCAGAAACGTTACAGTTAAGTCCAATTAACGCCTCTCCTCGAATAATGTCCCTCCTATAGAGCTACTCGTCATTGTAAATTGAAACAGGCAAATTGTCAGGGGAATCTGATTAGGTGGTCTGAGAGCGAAGCAAGAAGGAAAGGGAACACATTATGGCAACCCATTCAGGAACAGTTACTCCCGATGTGGTTTTTGCAAGCTCGAGGAACCAAGATAAGTTCTGGCAAACAGACATGTCATCTGTAGTCAGTCTCACAAAAGATGCAATTTGTTTAGGCGACCAAGAAGCACAGAAAAATGTCACATACCAGTATGAATGAAGAGTATCCTATTTCCTTTAAATCTTTTGGGATTGTTGGTCATTTCAGCCAGCATTCCTCTGACTGTCTTAATATTGTACACTGGGTCAAGTAACACTCCTGTAGAACTGGAAATCTCTAAAATGTATTCTGCAAGAAACATTTTTGAATACTGCATTTTTCTCAATACGAAAAAAAAAAATTGAAAATAATTATACTAAAATAATGGAACAACTTTTGCACTGAATTTGAACAGTCCTATTAACATTGTTAGAGTAGTTATACGTGGCCAGGGTTTTGAATTAGGTAGATTAGCCGGTTAGGTATCTTCTTTTACGGTCAATTTAAATTCGCATTCTAGGCTGCATCTGGAGTTAATGCCTGGAAGCTGGAAATTGAGCTTTATAAAACTCAGACAGCCACTTTGTGAGAGGAGGTTTCGTGATGATCACTTGTTAAACAATGGCAGTACTCCAAAGAAGACCATTAACTACCTAGATCTTCTTGTGAGGGTCTTTCATATCCCGGCAAATGATGTCCACCGATGACATCTATAATGTCTTCTGCTTCCACAAGAAGCCCAGCTGCCATTAGTTCTTCATTTATCTTGCTGTATACATTTGCATCGTTATCAGAAACATTTACAGCATGGCACCTGCATTCAGATGAAAAATTCAAAGTTAGACAAATTATTCTTGTGGATGAACAATGAAGTGATCAGTAATAAGACTGAACGACTTTTGTCGTCGCTATCATTATTGCCCCTTCACTTTCATCATGATCCTCGTTATATTCAATATTCTTACGAGGTAAGTACAAATGTCGAAATAATATGTCAGGCTTCATTTAGATCATAATTGATTTGGTGCACCTGAGTTTGGGTGCCCTTTAAACACTACGCTTCACAACAATTAACTATGACCTAACGGATGTAATGACAATGATTAATAATGTTAATAATTACCTATGGAGAGACTAGTGCACTATCTAAAACAGTATAAAGATTATTATCAAAAGCTGGATTATTGGATGATGCAATTCAAGAGTTTTCATTGGCTTATATAGCCATCATGGGCGCAGGCAGACGAGTTAAACCGGAAGTGCTTTGTACATTATAACTTTCTGCGTGTTCTTACAAAATAAGTTGGGAAGGTTTAATTATAATTTGGGCGTTTTCGATAAAACAACAATTTTTACTCGCATTTGTTGGATATGAGTTGATTAGTAAGCCAACGTGGCCTGCTATCTATCATCTCATATCCAACGTACGCTCGTGGAAAATTGTTTATTGGTGGGTGCATCGGGGTCTCTTAGAAAACGAAAAACCGTAATAAAAAAGTCGTCCAAAACCACAAATCGCCTAAAAATTCGATCACAACCGAAATCCCCATGCAAAACCGTACAGTGGTGACAAGTGGAGCACAAACCGTACAGTGGTGACAAGTGGAGCACAAACCGTACAGTGGTGACAAGTGGAGCAAAACCGTACAGTGGTGACAAGTGGAGCACAAACCGTACAGTGGTGACAAGTGGAGCACAAACCGTACAGTGGTGACAAGTGGAGCACAAACCGTACAGTGGTGACAAGTGGAGCACAAACCGTACAGTGGTGACAAGTGGAGCACAAACGAGGAACCGGAACCCAAATAGGAAAAACCGAAAACCACATCGGATATCAAATCCTAAAGCCCGTGAGAATTTTTGCGGAAAACTGAAAACCTAATGCTAAAAAACGGAAAATCCACAAACCGCAATGCACACCAAAACCGAAAAACCGAAGTTTTTTCGGCTCAAAACCGAAAAAACGATAAAAAAAAAATTGCCAAAACCACAAAACCAAAAATTCTTAAGTCCTTCTCTTTATTATCATAAATCAATTTAATCAAATGAAGATAATGGGCCCTTATTTCCTCTTGATTTGAGCTAATACTGTAAATTATGTATCATTATCAAAACAAATAAATATAGGCCTTTGCAGAAACGTGAGAGGATTGGGAAAGAGTGTGGTTGTTTTCCGTTTGTTTGAAAAACTAAGATATTCAAATGAAAGATCAACTAAATTTGAGTCTTAAGCAAAAATAGAAGTATTTAGAGGAGGAAAATGGCAAAATGACAGCTTTCGAATATCACCTAAAATAGAGAGTTTGTATGGATTGGGTATACGGAGCAAAAAATTTTAAGGGTTTGTATGGAATTTTTGCAACTTTTGCAAGGCTCCAATTTGGACACTTTTCCGCTGAAAACTCTCAAACTTGGCTGGGTAGCTTTCCATTCAGTAACATTTCAGTTGAAATGTTTAGATTTTCAATGTAATCAATATAAGAAACTCGTCCCAGTCCTCTCACGTTTCTGCAATGGGCCATGCTCTTCTCGTGAAATTACAACAGGTCCAAGTTTATAACTTCCATTAAAAAATTTCCAACTCACTTGAGTTTTGAACCTGTCAGGTAGTTAGCTATGGCAATTCCTGCTGCAGTTCCTCCACTGGCAGCTGTCATTACAATATCATCAAAATCTTCCAGTAGATTCTTAAAAGGACGAGCGAGAAAATGTATTCACTTTCAGCAGTCAGAATAAGATCTAGCTACTGAGGAGAGCGACAACATATTGATGAACGATTCATTGCTATACATAACAGTTCATGGAGCTTCTTTTGCAGACTTGAATCCAAGCTCTTAAGCTTGTTAATCACTTAGCTTCCATGGTAAAGTTTTATATTAATCAGTATCAGGGTGAAAAGGTTGTAACCATGGAGTTTTGGATTGCAGATGCGTAGAGGATACATGCTTAAATCCTGAATCCTGTAAACTATTGAGAGATATATATGAATTACTAGAATCATTTCAAGGAGATCAGAGAATGTTTGTGCATTATGCTAATCAGGGAAAGGATTATGACTTAGACTGTGTATACTTGCTTGCTGTAAAGTGAAACCTGCGTTACCACAAAAATCCTTCTCAATTTAGCTGACTATGCGTTAGACTTAGTTTGCAAGCTTAGAATAGATAGATCAGCAAATCAAGAGGATTTGTTAAGCATTTGGATCATAGTTTGATTTAAATGATGAACTCACTTGATCCATCATTTCCTGAAATGCTGTCAGGTAACCAAACAATCCTGTATATGAAGATCCTCCAACCTCTATCAGATATGGGGCTAGTCCTTGCTTACTTCTGAAAGGATTTGATCCAAGAGAAAAAAATTGAAAAGTATCTATACTCTGCTGAGAACCATTAACTCCCACGATCTGATTGTTAGTCCTCCCTTTAAGCTGCTACACATTTTCTTGTAAATTAGTGTCGGAAATTTTTGGTGTTAAATCAAGATAACAACATCTACCTGTCAGGATAACTTTAAGTATTTTCATTTCGCCTAGTTTTTCATTCGCCCAGTTAGCCCAATGGATAGTGCGCTGGACTGTTGTGCGGGAGGCCTGGCCGGACCAACATTCAAGGTCTTAAAATAATTCAGAAGAATTTGCTACCTTTCTATAGCTTCAAGAAATGATTAGATATCCTAGTCTTCTCGGATAGGGACGAATAAATGGAGGTTCCCGGGTTTCCTGCAGGGCTGGGGTAGGAGACGTTAATTTCCCACACACGAGATCACTGTGTGATGAATGTCCTCCCCAGGGGTGGGATGGGTGGGAAGGTGGACAAGCTCGAATGGTTCGTATGTTCCCTTCTATTCCTTCCCCACTGCAAATTAATGCAATGAAAATGGAATAAATTACCAAATTATCTGTTTGCTGGAGAAGGTATGGATATTACAGGGAGAGGTTACATGTTAATCCCCTCTGGGAGTTCAAAAGGGTTAATGTAGGGAAATTTTGGGGAGTTCATGTTTCTCAAGGAGTGAAAGGTTAGGTTGGGATGCAAGAAGACTCCCAATCCCTCATCAGGTATTACCAGTCACACTATGCCTGTGGATCAAAACCTTGATTTGAATAATACAATAGTTCTTAAAAACACAAATACAAATCTTCATTCTCATGTCTGAAGAAAAATGACATTCCATAAAAAGAAGCAAAGTTAGGAATGAAAGAGAGTAACTAACGTGCGAGCCTGCGAGCCGGAGCCGTTTTTTGCGAGCCTCGAGCCTCTTATTGCGAGCCACTGTTTTTTCTATATCTTTCCATTTTCTCTCCTCATTTTATTCTAGCAGTCTTTGGCTCCTCTCCAGAAAGCATTTGAAGGTGAAAATCTGAAAAAAAAAAAAAAATCAAACCAGACGCTCGAGGAGCGTTCACTCGGGCTTCATAGCAAACGCTTTACTTGAGAATTCACCACGCGTAAAATGTATTCGAAACTACAGAGCCGTAGCATTCACACAAAACACGAGTACAGTTATAATATGCATCACGAGATCTGAATTTTTTTACCTTTAATGACACTGTAACATCATTATGTTCATGTACATTAGTCATATTGGAAAATTTTTTTCGTACATCACAGTCATCAAGAGTATTCATCATGTCTTCCAGTTAGCACTCGTAATTCCATGCAAAGAGCAAACCAACTTTCACGATCGCTTGCACAATAGTAATAGTGATTATGTACGAAATATCAAATCGTACATTTTAAGTATTGAACCCGATAGAAACCAACTACAGAAACAGGTATCTAACGGAAGAGCTAAGCTTAGATATTTAACATTACTATCCATGTTGCTTCTGTCAGTATCTCTATCCAATTTGCTGTTGTTAGCGCCACCTTCGAACAAAGTGTTCGTTTCAGCTTCATAGTTTGTTGTTAATCGGCTGTCACAGTTTTACCAGTATTTTCGTAGTTTGAGCGAAAACGCTCGACATTGTTTAGTGTGGGCCTACCACGAACGGTGTGTGCGAACGGTGTGACAGGAATCTTTGCCGTGCCACCTTCCCAAAACACGACATTTCGAAAATTGTGTTGTTTACAATAAGCGAACATAGGATATTAGAGACAAGTTGTCGCACTTTGATCCTCAGTTTCCGCGGTTTGGACAAGGAACGCCTGGGACCATGACCATAAAAAGGCATTATGTCCAGATTTGGATGTTACTTTCACGGGGCTCGCAAAAAATGGCTCCGGCTCGTCAAAAAAGGCTCGGGCTCGCAGGCTTGCATTACAACAACCCCCGGAATGAAACAAGAAGAAAAGACAATTAATTAAAGCTTTGTATTTTGTCAGTGGTCGTACTTCCCCATGGCTCCCACTGTTGAGGGGAGTCAGCGAAGAGATTTTGCCGGTTGGCCTTCTTAAGGGTATCGTAGGTAATGTTGTTTTTCAGAATGTCTAAATTGTTTCTAGCTTCTTTTTTTTTTTTTTTTTTAAGATATCTTGGTTTAATTCATTCAAAATGATTGGATTCTCTCCGAAATTCTCACTCCTTTGACTCAAAACAGTTATCAAAAGTTATCAAAATAATTTGACAAACCAGTTACCCACAATTTTTCTGCGATTTTCTCCATCATTGGCTTAAGGCCAGATTTATATTTCAACTCTGGGACAAGAATAATATTACTTCCAGCCATTCTGCTTATTAGAAGATTGCCTTTACATCCAACAGCGACTGTCTTTTACAAGAGAAAAAAAAACAAAAGGTTGGCTGCAGTCAGAGACGCAAATAATCACATATATCAACGTTGCTCATGTGAAAAGATACACTGTAAGAGCTAGTGGTGCTTGAGCTACAAATTATGTTAAGGAAAGGCATACTTAAAGTGATACCTGATCTGAACTTCTTAGCAGCAAGTAGCTATTGAAACCAAGTTGTTTTGCTGCAACTGCAGTAGTCCTACAATGATTGGAGGAGAGACGACCACACGTTATCACTGTGTCACACTTCTTATCTAAAGCATCAGCCAAAGTAAACTCCAATTTACGAACCTGTAATTTAACAAGTTGAGTAAATTCATCCTCATTTGATAAAAACTTTACCGAGACATACATATCTAAAGGCCCAGGTAATATACATGGTTCACTTGTGCAAACTCTCAAAGGGAAACATAAGAAAAACAACCAGCAATGTCACATGATACAGTAAAAAAGCAATGAAAAGTCACTGTAATATAAGAAATGAAAAGATAATGAGAGAAAATGAAAACTTGAAACTTGTCAAGCTCAACATTTTTTTTTCCTATGGATTTTGGATATCCAGTGGAGTCAGTTGATTTACCAATTTGTCTTAAGCTTTTTGAAAAAACTAAGGCGTTTTCAAAACACCATGACTTACTTAGACATGTGAGGCTGTCTAAACTCAAGTGGTACAGCTTGATTCTGACAGATGGAAAGCAACAGGATATTGACGTGGCATTTCCAGGTCTCAAAATTTGCACTCGGCCAAATATTTTACCAATGGAAGTCCAAGCCACATTGCACAACTCAGAAAGCCAGGGAGATAAGCACTGATAACATTTTATGAAATTTTTTCACCTCACTACATCTTTAAAAGTAAGTAAATTAAGGGTTACAATTTGTGACATGTCTGCCAAACACAGGTGGGCGATTTGGCAGCTTTCTCTTGAAATTTGTTGACCATAATTTTGTTCACTTGTCATGGCAACCAAAATGGTTGCCTTCTGGAGTGCTGAGCTGATATTATCATGAAAATGAACAACATTGGCTGATCTAATCCCACCTTATTTCCAGACAAAGTACATCCAGTTAGGTCATCCCTTTTGATGGATATCGAAAACTCCTTGGGGGCATTGGGAAGATTCCACGAATGGATTGGAGTGTTACGTTGTGCAAGCTACAAAATAGCAACAATCATATAATTTGAACGGGAGTAGAAATTGTCTTTCTGAGAAGAATGAAGCGCATTATTTCACCCAGCACTCATCTGTAACCGCTAAGTTAATCTGGCTTTCTGTGCTCTCTTAAGTGCCTCATCCGCTAAGAGATAGCGGTCCTCTTGACTTCCCGTCTAAAAAAGTTTTCTTTTTCTTCCACGAAAAGGGCAACTGCATACGACATGAGGAAACGAGGTACTAAAACCCGAAAGAGTAAAACGAAACGACCCAAACAAACAACCGAAACAAGCGAAACCGCCTAAACGACCAAAATGAAACGATTGAAACGAAATGAGCGCAACGACCACGGTGTTACGGGTCAGTCTTCATATTAGTTGTCTCGTTGAAATTAAGGTCGCCTCCTGATCTACCTCACGGGGAAATTCAACTGCTTTCGTGGTGGAAAAAAAAAATCAATCTCATGACAAGGCCTTTATATTTCAACGTCTTAGGTAGGGGAGAATATCTGAAGTGAAATCTATATTTTCGCGACATTTCATCCTCCACTCGTCCCGATCGTTGTAGTGGTTTTGTTTTGGGCCTTACAGTTGATTCGTTTTAGTCGTTTCACCTTATTCGTTTAGGTCGTTTCGTTTTGCTGTTTCGGGTTTTGGTACATGCCGGACAGGCCGAGCGCAATGCACTGAGTGAACGCATTGATTTGCGTTGTTTTGCATACCAGCGGGTTTATGCCAAATGGTGACCTCATGGGTGTACTGATATGCATTTTAAGGCCGAATTACGCCTGCATTTTTGAGAATTCTTTCTTTGAATATTTGATATATAACTTAAGGTCGGAGAAGATTCTCCTCTAATTATGTTGGTATGGATAATTTCATTACGTAGCCTGTGAACTGACTGAATTCCGTGAACTGTATTATTGTAGTCACAGCGCGCTCGACAAAATTTGTGAATTTACACCACTGATCTTTGTCCACACGGCAAAAATCAATTTTGTCTTGTGGCGATACAAAAAAAAAGAATTCGAGAGCAATCAAACTACTTCTGAAAAACATTTTTCCTAAACCATTTTCATGGGCAACAAACAAAAGAAAACCTTTTCTTCGACGGGAAATCGAGAGGACCGCCCTTTTAAAAAACCAAAAACTTTTAATTGCCAAGAGTTGTTGACTTGAGCCTATAAACCTAACAAGATGTTTTAAACCTCATGAAAAAACTCTAATATCCAAATCTGATTTCCTTTATATATATATAGATACTAATTGTGAATTGTAGCCAGCACTGTTAAAAAGGGCTCAATACACATTTGCTTAGAGCGGTATATATCATTAAGTGACAAGAAGGAAACACGCATGATTCGCTGCAACTCTGAGTTTCGTGCGTTAAGCACTCATCAGGCAGATGTAATGAAGAAACAATCCTATCTGCTAGTATATATTCTATTTACAATAAAAAGGTAAAAACAACAGGTAATTATGGCGTGATATTTACAATAGGTGAGAAAGGCGTAATATTTAGGTGAGAAAGGCACTGGGTGCAACAATGGGAAGTAAAGTCTAAGAGCGTATGATAATACTGAATACAAAGACTATTACAATGAATATATGAAGTCCATATATTTTGAACTGCGGTATTAAATACGTATGATGCACGATCCTTCGCAGTAGATAGCGCTATTCATACAATAGCGAAAATTAGACCTGAAAAAAAAAAAAAAAAAATCAGGCCTGATTTTTTTCAGGTCTGATTTTCGCTATTGCATAAATAGCGCTATCTACTGCGAAGGATCGTGCATCATACGTAACTAATACCGCAGTTCAAAATATATGAACTTCATATATACATTGTATCAATCCAATTCGTCGCTTTCGCGATGCGAAAAAACCTATCCTTTGGAGTACAAATACCGCGTGATATTTGTACTCGTCTTGGGCGTTATTTGTACTCTACGAGGTGTAGTTGGATAATAAAGGATAATATTTTTAAATGTAAGATCGCACTATGGAGCCATCCTCTCACATTAAACATTCCTTAATTATTCGTGTTGTCTTACCTTGATCGAATACTTTGGAATGTTTTTCAGGGATGAAGCCCACTTAGGTGGCTCATATACATGAAGCTGTGCAAGATCATGTGCGTTCATTTCTGAGGAACTAAACTGAGAGAAGCTTAAGTTGATAAGGTGAATGGTGTCCTCTGACTAAGGAAAACTGGCGAAGAGTTCTATAAAACCCTCTCAAACAAAGCATTAGTTATGAAGAGAAACGATTATTTTTGCCATTGTTTTACGCTTCATCAAGCAAAGGAATGCATAATGAGAAAGGGGTCACGTAAAAATTTTGTTCTAACCTTGCGTGTCATACGTTCTGGCCTTGCGTGCCAAGGCCTTTTTATCAGTTAACCGGCTGATAAACCACGGGCGATGTTGGGAGAACACTCAAAAACTTTAAGAAGATATGCAAAATAAAGGCACAAGCTATACACCACTCTCATAAATGGCTGCCGGATTAATATTCTTTTGCTTAAATTTAAATTAGCCCTTCTGGCCTCGCTTGAGATACTGTATTCTTTTGAATTTTGTACTGGAGAATGAGGCCAGAAGGGCTAATTTAAATTTCAACAAATGAATAGAAATCCGACAGCCATTTATGAAAGTGGTCTATAAAGTGCTTCCGAAGAATACATCAATTTGGTGGGAGAAAACGTGTTTTTTTTTTTGCCAGAAATGGCCTACCACTACGATTAAGATCTGATGATCTTTAGCGTGCCCTGTGGTGTTGTTTTGATGCAAAACTAAAGTTGGGAATTTATCGCGACAAAATAAGACGGCAGACCCATAATCTAAACTTAAGGTGAACTCAACAAAGACATCTGTCAGGAATTTCTACTTGAGCATTAGATCAACTATCTCTGAGTTGAACTTTGTTTACATGTCGTGGTGACATGATCTTGCTTGAATAACAATAGGTGGTTTGCACGTTACGTCATTGCCGCAATGTTGGTGGACGTAAACAATAGATATCTCATTAGCTTCTTTTGTTCGTCCACCAGCATTTGTTCCTTTCACCATTGTTACCTGTGTCCCTAGAGATAAGTTGTAAACCACCTATTTCAAAGGAAAAATGAAGAACATGCAGGCATGATTTTTTTTTCTACGCAAAGATGATTAGCTTAGACACCAGTTTTTTTGTGCCTACGTGTGTTAGTTTCTGTTCTCCTTTTAGTCTTTCTTAGCTTTATCTTTGATTTCATGCGTGTTTCATCCCCAAGCCATGCTAATCTGAGAAAATATCAATAACTCGACTAGGCCTACCCTGGGGCCCTAAGTCACCGTAACTTTGGGCGACTTAATTTGGGCGATTTAAGACGACTTAAGCGGAATTGGCATAATAAAACATTGCGACTTTAGACGATTTAAGGCGACTTAAAGCGATTTTGACTGAAGGGATAACATCAAAGTTAGCAACAGTCTCTCCATAAACCTTAAAAATAATTACAGAATCCCTTACAATAAACACAATAGGATTAAAGTGGGGTGAGTCAATTAGGAAGGGTGGAACCTTTATAACATTGCGTAACCAATAGCGACTTAAGGCAACTTTAGGCGACTAAAGGAACCTTAAGGTCCCAGAGCAGGCCTTCAACTGATCAGTTATAATCTCGTCTCTATCCCCGGCCTGTCAAACGACCATTGTTACAAACTCTGTTCTAACCAAGTCCTCCTTTTGTCACAATTTAATTATGAGCATCGACAAGAGCTGTTCATTCTGGCTCTTCTGCATCAACACCACACTGCTTTTTGACTGCAGTACTCTAAGTACGTAAGCAACAGTAGGCACATGCAGTCATAGATTGCCTTTTATTTGAAGAATAGCTGTTTCTATAGTTTGTCTTTAAGTTTCGCATGCTTCGCACGCCTCGCATGCTGTGGTGGGCAATTCAAGCAAGAAAGCTTGATGAAACCGTACCAGTTAGAGAAAAGAGGACCGGAATCGGCGAAGTTGGCTGACTAAAATAGTCCGGAATTTTTGCAATACATGGAGTAGGCTTTCCTAAAATAGTGAAACAAATTTTCCTTGCCGAAGGGTAACTAACTTTATTGAAAATTCCAAAAACCAGGCTTAAGTATGAGAAGAGATCTAACTTTCCTTCAAAAATAAGCAGCAATCATTCATTACTGAAGCAGCTCATTGAAGATACACGTCTTCCGTGTGTGTGAGCGTTTTTGTGTCCGAATTAAGGACAAAAAGTTGTAAACTTAAAGGATTAAAAATCTTGGGTTTAAAATTCAGGTGTTCCGAATCTATTCTTTGCCTTATTAAAGGCGTTAAGACGTAAAGACAAAGAAAAAAGTATTTCTAAAAATTCGTTTTTATGTGAATAGCCATGGCTAACACATCGCTTGAGCCTCTCTGACATGTCCAGCAAACAGGGGTCACTACGTCTGGGATGGGATTAATTTTTTTTTCAGACGGCTGGATCATTGCACCATAGTTACAAACTATATCCAATGACAACTACTTATCATGACTTAATGGCTTTTTTAACTAATTACATTCAGATCGGTAGAGGATCATTGATGTCTCGCCAGCAGAGAATCTCACTGTTATATTGTGTGCATCGTGAACTTGTTAGTACAGAATCAATTTTGCCATCAAATAAACCAAAACATCCACCTAATAAAACAAAACAAAAAACAAAAACAAAAAACATTTCTAAAGCATTGAAAATAGTAATACGACAGATTACCTCCGTCAGTTCATTTGGAATTGTGTTTTGTAGTTGATCCGCCGTTTCCATGAAACCTCACGTTTAACCCCCATTAGCGCATCCCCTCGAAAAATATCCTTTCTACGGAGCTACTCGTCACAGGCAAATTGTCAAGGAGTCTGATTGAGTGGTCTGGAAGGGAAGAAGGAGGAAATGGAACAGGCTATGACAACCAACCCAGGATAGGAAACAGTTACTCCCAATATGGTCGTTGCAAGCTCCAGGAACCTGAATAAGTTCTTGCAAACATGCATGTTCATCTACAGTCAGTCTCACTAAAGAAGTAATTTGTTTAGGCGGCCAAGTCAGTAGCGCACAAAAATTTCACATACCAGTATGAATATAGAGTATCCTATTTCCTTGAAATCTTTCGGGATTGTTGTTCATTTCAGCCAGCATTCCTCTGACTGCCTTTATATTGTACACTGGGTCAATGAACACTCCTGTAGAACTGGAAATCTCTAAAACGTATTCTACAACAAACGTTTTTGAATATTACATTAATAGAATACAAAAAAAATCGAAAATAATTATATTGGAATAGTGGAACAACATTTGCACCACAACAGTCTGAATAAAAATGTTCAGAATACTTTTAAATAGCCAGAGTTTTGAACTACGTAGGCTCAGGTCTTATGTTCTACGGTCAATCTAAATTCACCTTCTAGGCTGGTCATCTGGAGTTAATGTTAGGAGCTGGAAAACAGAGGCTTTTAAAACTCAAACAAGGGCTTTGTAAGGAGATCATGGTTTCATGGTACAGCAATCACTACTTCTTAAACAATGGTGCATTAGAGAGGAAATGTAACTACCGAGATCTTCTTGCGTGGGTCTTCCATATCCTGGCAAATGATGTCCACCAATGACATCTATTATGTCTTCTGCTTGTACAGGGAGCCCAGCAGCTTGAAGTTCTTCATTTATCTTGCTGTATACATATGCATCATCATCATACACATTTACCGCATGGCATCTACAATCACATAAGAAAATCAAATTTAGGCAAGTTAAAGTCTTGTGGATGAAGAGCAAAGTGTAATACTCCCACAGAAAGTATCAGGATAATAACACTGAATGATTTCTGTCATCACTAAGAACCTTAAGCAGTCAGGACGGCAACGCCAAGGAAGACATCAATTGAAAAATGAATTTCTACTTTTAATTAGAATTTCAAAAGTGGCTACATGTGTTTACCCTCTCATACGGCGCCACACCTCAACTTCAGCATAATGTTTAAGAGTAGCGTTGATTTACAAATGGAAATTAAAATTATTTGTCATCGCGGTTTCCGTTCGCAGACGACGCAAATTTGGGTGATTCCACGTTGTTGTTTTGCAAAGGACAGCTAGGAAATGTACAGCTAGGAAATGTACAAAGGTTTAAAACGCATGTGCTGAGCTATTGTTCTGCCAGTTAGATCTTTTGTTTTTTCACGTCCTCGTTGCCGTCACCGTCATGGTTTGCTTTAGCTCCCTACTATCATCATTAAACCATCACTATCATTAGCCTCCTTGTCATATTCACTGTTCTTACTGAGTAGGAACATAAAGCTTCTACTATGTCACAAAATATATATGGCAGGCTTGCATTGATTAATTTCACAGTATGTTGCACCAGTTTGGGTGCTCCTTAATGATGGAGCTAAAAACCATTAGAATACCTATGATACGTAAGAAATATTTTCATGTTTTACTGGTCTGTGGTGAGAGTACACTCTCTAAAACAACATAGTATAAAGACAGTATTATTTATCTATGAACAATTTGAGTATTAATGCTTTGATCCATTTGAAACAAATAAATGATCCTCATGAATACTACAGCAGCTACAAGTTTATAACTACACTATAAAAAATTCAGTGCTCACTTGAGTTTTGAACCTGTCAGATAATTAGCTATGGCAATTCCGGCTGCAGTTCCTCCACTGCCAACTGTCAATACAATATCATCAAAATCCACCAGCAGATTCTTAAAAGGAAAAGAAAATGTGTTCACTTCCAGCCATCAAAATACAATCAGTTTCCTGAGGGCTACATAATATTGATCAAGGATTCATTGCTATGTAACAGTAGCTTCTCATGCAAACCTCCGATCCCCTAGCATTTGATTATTCAGTTTTCAAAGTGTAAAAGGCTATAACCATGAAATTTTGGGTTAGACCTGGGGGAGACACACGCTTAACCCTGACTATCAGTGACCAAGACAGAAATTCTCCTTACAAAATCAATACAATATCAAGCAGACAAGTGATGAGAATAAAGAAAAATATCAATTAGGGGATAGCTAGTTTATCCATTACCAAATTCTCTGAACTTATGTCAAAAGAATTGTGTGGCAGAGAGTAAGGAGGATTACTATCAACATCTCGGGGAAGATACATGCTTAAATTCCGTAAAAATATTGAGAAATATGAACAAAAAGAATCATTTGAAGGAAATTCCAAGACTTTTTGTGTATCATTTTGATCAGTTAATTAGAGGCTTATGATTATGTATTAAACTGATTAAAGTGAAACTGCATTACGACTAAAATTGTCTCTAGAGAAGGCTCAACTTAGGGTTACTGGCCAAGGTTATAGGCTTATATTAGCCAAGTCCATCAATAACTTGAGGAGAAATTTAATTGTCAAGCATTTGCACCATAGTCTGATTTAAATGATCAACTCACTTGATCCATCATTTCTTGAAATGCTGTCAGGTAACCAAACAATCCTGTATATGAAGATCCTCCAACCTCAACCAGGTATGGGGCTGAACCTTGCTGACGTCTGAAAACATTTGATCCAAGATAAAATCATTAACGAGTATCTACTCTGCAGTGAAACCTGTTACCCCCCAAGATCTGATTGTTAATTCTCCCTTCTACCCTGCAACACATTTGTGACAATTTCTCATTAGATCAAGATAAAACTTCTACCTGGTAAGTTTAAGTTAATTCTCAGTGTATGTTTGCTGGATAAGGTACGAATATTATAGGGAATAGTTAAATGTTAATCACTTCTGGGAGTTAAAGAGTTAATGCAAAGAAAATTTCATGGAGTTCATGATTGCCTGAGAGTGAAAAGTAACTAATAGCAAGACTGGTATAAAACCACACTCCCAATCCCTTGGGCATACCAGTCACATTATGCCTGTGGATGAAATAAATACACTGGTTCAGACATACACAATTACAAATATTAATTGTCAAGTCTAAGAACAAATGAAATATGTACTGTGATAAAAAAAAAGGATGTATAACAATGAAAAGAGAAAACTAAAGCTTTGTAGTTTGTAAATGATCCTCCTTTCCCCAAGGATTGCATTGTTCAAAGGAGTCGGCAGAGGGGAGGTTTTGTCAGTTAGCCTTTTGGGGCATCTTATATTAAGCTTTTCAGAGTGTCTTAACTATCAATTAGTATATCTTTGTAAATCTTTTAGTTTAATTCATCCAAAATGATTGGAATCTCTCCGAAAATCTCACACCTTTGACTCAAAACAGTATAATTATCAAATGAGTCAAAATAATTTGACCAAATCATTCACCTACAATTTTTCTGCCATTTTCTCCATCATTGGCTTGAGGCCAGATTTATATTTCAACTCTGGAACAAGAATAATATTACTTCCAGCCATTCTGCTTAACAGACGATTGCCTTTATATCCAACATTGACTGTCTCCTACAAGGACAAAAAAAAGAAAGGTGGCTGCAGTCAGAGAGTTGGCAATAATGCAAATATTGATGTTCTTCATGTGTATATAAAGATACTTTGTGAGAGCAAATTGCATTTGAGCTGCAAATTATGATAAGGAAAAGTATACTTGAAGTGATACCTGGTTTGAACTTCTTAGCAGCAAGTAACAATTCAAACCAAGTTGTTTTGCTGCAACTGCAGTAGTCCTACAATGATTGGAAGGGAGACCACCACACGTTATCACTGTGTCACACTTCTTATCTAAGGCATCAGCCAGGACAAACTCCAATTTACGAACCTGTAATGTAACAATTAAAAGCAATTAAGATACTTATATTCATACTTAATCGAAATAGATAGCCACTTTAGTACAATGTACATATAAAAGCTTATGTGTAGTTTGATCACTTGTGCAAACTCTCAATAGGAAATATAGGAAATAAACAGCAGTGCCACACAATATAATAAAAATAAATGAAAAGTTCATAAATGTATACTAATGGAAACAAAAGCAGAGTTAAGGAAAACTGACACTTTTGAAGGTCTTGTGTTCATTTGATTTTGTCTAGCCCTATCCACTGCAGTGTTAATTTAGCAATTTTTCTTGAGCTCTGCTGTAAAACTTAAACATTTTAAAAACACCCTGACTTATTATTGTTTGTGGCTGTCTAAAACTCGAGTGAGGCAGCTTGATTATCATTGCAATTTTGACAGCAATATTGGGATGGCATTTCAGGTCGCACATTTGTCTATGTTTTTTCATTTCATGTCGCAAATTATGGTAAGCCATTCCCAGATATTTGACCACTAGTACTATATAGAAAAACATGTTGGCAACTGCTTTTGAAAGTTCAATAGCATACATCATAAATTGCAGACAGCCTGAAGGGGGATGAGAATTGATAACATTTTAACAAAATTGTTCACCTTAATTCATTTTAAAAAGTACTGGCAAGTTAAGGGTTACAGTTTGTGTCATGACTGCCAAACACAGGTAGACAATTTAGCAATTTTCACTGCAAAAGTTTCAAATTTTGTTTACTTGCCAAGGAAAGCATTCGGTGCTGGTCTGAAAATATTAATATTGTAAAATTAAATCAACAACATTGGCTGGTCTGTGATCACACCTTATTTCCAGACAAAGCACATCCAGTCAGGTCATCTCTTTTGATGAATATCGAAAACTCCTTCGGGGCATCAGGAAGATTCCATGAATGGATTGGAGTGTTACGTTGTGCAAGCTACAAAATAGAAACATTTGCAATATAGAACACAGGTCAGGTGTTGTGCTGAGAGGAATACAACACAATATTTGACCCAGGACTCATCTGCAACCTCTTAATTGACTTGTCTTTCAGTGCTCTATTAACCAAAAACATTGACTTGAGCCTAAATGCTGAAAATTCATGACATACAAGATCTTACCTCATAACCGCATTCTAATGTAATGAGATATCTCTATGCCTACAGTTCCCTAATGATCCACTGCCACACCACTCACGCACAACACAAAGAAGAAACAAGACAATGAATCTGTTTGTTTATCTTTAATGAGAGAATGTGCTGCCACTGAGGGCTCAGAGAAAGCCTCAGAGGTAGGTAAAGGAGAGTAATAATAAAACTGAAACATCAAACCAACAAAGCGAAGTGATCATATGTCAGCCCTCATCAATTTAAACTTTCATATTTCAATTTGAACAATTTCCTCGGTGTAAAACCCTGTGAAGCTCACAAGTGACGTAAACAAAAGACAACAAAACATTATAAAAAATAGCGCACAGCAAAATAATACCTCATATGAAACAAAGAAAACCTCGTATATATGCACGATCCTTCGCAGTAAAGCCCTATTTGAGCAATAGTGAAAATCAGACCTGAAAAAAATTTCAGGCCTGTACGGGATTCGAACCACTGACCTCTGCGATACTAGTGCAGCGCTCTACCAATTGAGCTAACAAGCCAACTGGGAGCAGGCCATCAAATTAATTCGACATAAACCCGTAGATGATAAATCAAACAACAACAAACATATGAAACATATGTATGAACTGCGGTTATGAAACGTATATATGCACGATCCTTCGCAGTAAAGCACTATTTGAGCAATAGTGAAATCAGGTCTGATTTTCAGGTCTGATTTTCACTATTGCCKAAATAGTGCTTTATTGCGAAGGATCGTGCATATATACGTTTCATAACCGCAGTTCATACATGTTTCATATGTTTGTTGTTGTTTGATTTATCATCTACGGGTTTATGTCGAATTAATTTGATGACCTGCTCCCAGTTGGCTTGTTAGCTCAATTGGTAGAGCGCTGCACTAGTATCGCAGAGGTCAGTGGTTCGAATTCCGTACAGGCCTGAAATTTTTTTTTTTCAGGTCTGATTTTCACTATTGCTCAAATAGCGCTTTACTGCGAAGGATCGTGCATATATACGTTTCATAACCGCAGTTCATACATATGTTTCATATTTTTATTGTTGTTTGATTTATCATCTACGGGTTTATGTCGAATTAATTTGATGGCCTGCTCCCAGTTGGCTTGTTAGCTCAATTGGTAGAGCGCTGCACTAGTATCGCAGAGGTCAGTGGTTCGAATCCCGTACAGGCCTGAAATTTTTTTCAGGTCTGATTTTCACTATTGCTCAAATAGTGCTTTACTGCGAAGGATCGTGCATATATACGTTTCATAACCGCAGTTCATACATATGTTTCATATGTTTGTTGTTGTTTAAAGAAAACCTCGTCAGGTTTTTACACCGAGGATCACCCAACAATTTGATTTGTGTTCATGTTGTCTTACCTTGATGGAATATTTTGGAATGCTTTTCAGGGATGAAGCCCAGTTAGGTGGTTCATACTTATGAAGCTGTGCACGATTATTTCTGTTCATGTCCGAGAAACTGAGAGAGAAGTTGACAAGATGTATGGTGTCTTCATACTGTCAATTCAGGTTCAGGCTTGCCACCTTAAATATCTGTGGTTTCGGGTTTCTATGGTAATGGTTCCTGTGGCATTTACATAGCCGTTATTACGAATGGAGTTCAAATATATATATTGCCTCTAGAAGTCTTCCAAAAAAATCAGCTCCGTATAAAGATTAATAGTTCATTATTTGTTTGGAAGTATTTTTTTCTGCCAGGAAGCCTGAAGAGTGACTACTAGGAACAGATTCTAGAGGCAATATATTTGAACTACATTCGTAACGTCTATGTAAATGCCACAGGAACCATTACCATGGGATGGTAAGCCTCTGCCTTAATAAAAGGGTCTCTCTCGGTTTAACATCACTGTGATTGACGCCAGTTGATGACATTTATTACACGGTAATATTCGTGAAGGATCCGCAAAGGGTGGTTAATCCTTCCGAGATGGCTGAGAATACATTTAATACTGCAACTGGCAGTAATAAATCGCAATCTGATTGACCAATTTGCCGATGTCGGTAAGGCTGATTTTTCAGTCCGATTGTTTTCGACGCGGTGCCTTTGTTAAATGCGAGGTCAATCGTTCTAGTCATTTTCTCCTCTGGTTTCACCTTGGAAGGTCACGTTCGATCTCTTAATTCTGTGGGGATTAGTGGAGTTTACTTGGGATGAACAGACGAATGAAGAGAGGGTGTCTCGCAAACACAGACCTCGAAAACGCAAACCTCGAGACCGCAGACCCCGAAAATTTTGTTTTCGACATTTTGAAGAGACCGTGGTTGAGGAGTGATTTTTGTTTGGTGAGGGAGACTCAAATCTGAAGATCATAGCGAAGGAGGAGAAGATATTACAAAATCTGCGGCATCCTAAGCTTCCTAAACTGGTTGCTACTGTCAATCAGTCTTGATGTTCAGGTTTCAGATCTCCTCGAATTATTGCATTGCCTCGATAGAATACAAGCAGGCGAAGCCTTTCAATATTTTTTACCGCTTTTTCCCAAAGCAGCAACTGATATCGCCGATCGAGGTACTTGAATTTTTGCCTTCATGGATCGAGTGTGATACACCGCGACGTGAAACCAAGGAATGTCTTCTGGGGTTTCCTGGAAGAATATGATCACCGGATCACCGGATCAAGGATCAGTTCAAAATAAATCAAATAAATTAAATAAATCAATAGGCACGATTGATTGCTCATCTGCGTGACTCAGTCAAGATCTCCCGTATGCTAAAGCGAAAATAAGAGAAAATACTAAATACTGAAAAAGCCATTCCACTTTTTGGAAGTGTCAATTTTCGCCTACCGACTATTAGGACTGCTATTTGAAGACTGACAGCTACAGAGCGGGTTTTCTTGTGCATATGCTATATTCACATGAAATTTCTAAATTATCCTGAGGGGGCAACAGGTCGAAAATCTCATTAACACACACTGGAAAATTGAATCAATTCTTAGTCTTATGTGATTTTTTTTTTAAGAAAGTACCTGACAACTAACGAGGACGAATTGTTTTTTCTTTTTTCTTTCACCAGTAAGCAGAGCAAGCAAAAAATTTATTCCCACACTTTTGATCACTTCTGACAAAATAAAGAACCTTGACGTTTGCCGATTCTCTGTTTCTCGATAGCACTGAGAAATTTGTAGAGATTGCCAATGGACGACAAAATCGCCATTATTTTCCAATTCTTTGCATTTTCACCCTAGTATTAGTTGATCTTACAAATAAATAAAGGCTGATAGTTTCGAAAGAAACTGTTTGGGGCTGCGTCGGGGGAAGTAACGAAATAATTTGGATATATCAACAAAGTTGAAGTGGTAAATTGGCCACCGTAACGATTACAAAAGCTGACGTTTCGAGCGTTAGCCCTTCGCTCCGACGATCTTACAAATAATTCCCAGTCGCTAAAAGCGGCTTCGTGTTTTAAAATTGCACCGGAAGTCAGGGACACAATCACCTTTAATCTTTTAATCATTCGTATACTCCCAAGACAGCAAAAAAAGCTAT